TGTGTGTGTGTGTGTGTGTGTGTGTGTGTGTACACTACCCTCTAAAGACAGGGATCTGCCCCAGACCAAGAAAGGTTGTGAGAGAGAGGGTGTCTTAGAATATCCTGAGCCCCTACAATGAAGCAATCCAAATAGCCAATGGCTTCTTAAAAACGGATTTAAAAAATATTTTCATGAGGTGACAGATATTTCTACAAAAACATGCTGAAGCATTATCAGAAATAGCAAAAAGAAAATTATACACAAAATAATTGTCCTCCCAAAAAGGAAATACATGAAAAATTTTATTTGTGAAATACTATTAGTCTGCTTTTTCATTACTATAATAAAGTACCTGAGGTAGGCTAACTTTATAAAGAAAAGAAGTTTAGCTCATAATTCTGGAGATTCAAAGGCAGGGTGCTAGCTTGGCTCTGGTGAGCACCTCACGGCAGTTGATATCACAAAAGCAAGAGTCTGTGAGAGAGAGAGAGACAGACAAAGACAGAGAAAGACAGAGAAAAAGAGAGACAGTGACAGAAACAGAGACACAGAATCTGAGACAGAGGCAGAGACTGAGACTGAGACAGAATGAATCACAATCCCAAACAGAAAGCTAGAGACAAGTTCAGGGCTCAGGGTTGCTTTTATAATAGCTCACTCATACAAGAACTATTTTAATACCCTTCCTTGTTGACCGAGGCTACAACTCTTAAGGGTCCACAGCACCTCCTAACATCGCCACACTAAGGACAACATATGACAATTCCAGTACATGAACCCCTGGGGGACATATTCAAGTTATATCCAAACCATAGCACTATAATAGGCAAATTTCTTGATTTAACAAAGCAAGTTACAGAGTCTTCTGAGCTTCCGAGCTCATGATAGCTTCTGATCTATAATGCTCGTATTAACTTCATCACTAATGACATTACCAGGTCACTTTCTGTGGTGGGGGCTTCTTGTGCACAGTAGGATGGTGAGATGAGTCTCTGATGGCAATAGCAACCACCCTCTTATTGAACAACCAAAAATGCCTTTGACCATTAGCAAATGTCCCCAGCTGGGGGAGACAGATTTGTCCCCAGTTGAGAACTATTGGTGTACTTCTAGCAGACTTACATTAGTAAAGACTACATTAGTAAAGACTAACCTTTACATGGTTTTACCAGGCACAATGTTCCAAAAACAGCATCTCTTAACTATTTAATCTTTAAATGCTGTGGGATTCTTTGCCTGCCTTGAGTGAGTGCGTGACTTGCCTAAGATCACACAGCCAGTGAGTGGTGAAGTAAGGATGTGAACCTGAGTTCTTTGGCTCCAAACCTTGATTTCTATTCTCCTGTGGGTATGGTATTACTATGTTCTAACTTTTTAATTCTTCATGTCATCAAATCTACAAGATATTGTCAACAATTTTGAGCCACTTCTTACCAATGAGACCATCTGGGAAACAGGAGACAAGCAAAAAGTTGCATCCATGGCCTCAGCTTTCCTCCAGAATGTGGAATTAAAGGTTCTAAAAACTACCTTAAGCACTCCAGGGCAAAAACTCCAGAGAGCCCAAAACAGTGCTGTGGGTAAGAAGAAGATAAGGAATGATACACTCTGGGGACTGGTTACCAGCTGGGGCCTGGATTAAGAAATTAGGGAAAAAATAAGTACACTGGATTCGTCCATTTATCCTGCATAAAGCACTAGAAAATGAAACCTTATATAGGGTGAAAGGAGGTGGGTCAGGGATGACCAAAAGACATGAGAACATTTAGAGAAACTATGTTCGCACTACCATGATTGTGCAGTGGTTTCACAATCATGTAAAACTCAACACATCATACACCTTGATAAATGCAGTTTATGGGAAATTAATGATCCCTCAGCAAAGCTGGTTTAAAAAATGAAAAACATTGCCAATAGTCTCCAATCCTGAATCTATAATTTTGACTTAAAAGTAATTTTTTCTTTTTGATTTATTTTTTCTAGTGCTAGGGATCTAACCTAGGGCCTTGTACATGCTAGGCAAGTTCACTATCACTGAGCCATATCTCTAGCCCTAAAAATATTTTTTGAAAATCAAGTGCCTAACCTGCTTGCAAAACTGGAATCTGGACACATTAGTTCAAAAATTAAACTATTTTCTAGATAAGTAACTTTCATCTCTCCCAATTTCATCAGTTCCTAAATTATTTGAACTAAGACTAGGCCCCTCATCTTACTGGGCCTCAGACTTCTCATCTATAAAATGGGGATAATTATAGTGATGTAATGCACTTCAACTAGAGTGGTAATTGCTACGGTTATGATTATTCTATTTTTCAACTTTAGCATTAAAACATTATTATACTTAATATGCTATTAAGGTTTACATCTAAAACATCCCTTAAAATTCTGACCTTCAGCCTGGGTGGAAGGTAGGTCACTGAAGGAGTGATCCTAAAGGGTTTATTTCCCTCCCTGGCTCCTCCCTTCACTCTGCTTCCTGGCTGCTATGGGATGAGCACCTGTCCTCTACCCAGGCCCTTCCATCATGTTCTTCTACATTGGAGCCAGCAGACTATGGACTGAATCCTCTAAAAATCGTGAGACAAAATAAACCTCTCCTCCCTTAAATTGTGGATGTTGGGTATTATGTCCTAGGGATGGGAAAATGACTAAGATACTTTTTGAAACTGTTTTGCAACATAAAAGGAGACATCATCTAGTTCAACAATTTTCAATTTGTGGCCAGCTCTGTGCTGTCTATTTTTGAAACTAAGTATTTTCATGAGTTTGTGTCTTTTTTTCCCAGTTCTACTGAGGTATAATGGACAAAATGAAATTGTACCTATTGAAGGTATACAATGTGATGATTTGATATACACACATATTATGGAATAAGTGTCATAACCAAGTTAATAGACACACTCATCATCTCACATAGTCACTTTTTTGTTGTTGTTCAGAACAAGACTTTATTAATAAAATAATTATGATTTTTGAAAAAAAAGTTTTAAAATGTTTACATAAATGTTAATATAGGTTAAACCACCCAAAAGACAAAGCAGAGTCAACAAAGTCACTGTTTTTATGACCTTTTTTCTTGAACACAATGCTCTTGTGATTTCGTTTTTGGGATTTTTGTTTTTGTTTTTGTTTTGAAATACTGGAGATTGAAGCCAGGGAGTGCTGGGCTACACCCCAGCTGTGTGCATGCATGTGTGTGTGCTGAGGATGGAAGGCAGACCGTCCATGCTAAGCAATCCCTCTATCCCAGAGCCACACCCAACCCAGCCCAAATGACAATGTCTTATAACATCAGTGAACCTGATCATTGTTTTCCTCCCTTACCAGCTGTTAAAGCTTGAGTGGTTGCACACAATTGCTCGGAAGAAGGAAACACATTCAGTTTAAATACTGAAGTGAACTCAGTGGACATCCATTGTGATGATGTCATCCAGGGAAATTTACAAGGTGTGTGTGGTGGCTACATGTGGAATCCTTCGTCTGCAGTCTTATCACTGTGGGTGTCGTGATGAAATGTACCCCGTGGTCTCTTTTCCAATGAATTTGTCACTTTACTGCCAAAGTGAAGGTTTCCTATTCTTCAGCATGGAAAAGTCTTCTTTACAATTTAGGGAGGTGGGGTGTTCTGCCTCTGACTCAGTTTGTGTTGAGCTTATCTGCAAGGTGATGCCAGGGAACAATAAGGGGTGGATTAGGGATTCCAGAGAAAAGGAACCTGTAGTGAGTCTGTGTGTGTGGAGTTAGAGAACAATTTTAAGGAATTGGCTCACATGACTGTGGAGCCTGACATATCTAGAACCTGCAGGTAGGTGGACAGGATGGAGACCCAGAGAAGTGAGATGGCAGCTTGAATCCAAAAACAGTCTGGAGGCAGAATTCTCTCTTCATTTGAAGATCCCAGTCTGCTTTCTGTGAAGGCCTTCAAATGGATGGATGAGATTAATCTCCACTTTACAGGGGGGAAATCGGCTTTACTCAGAGTCTACTGGCTTCAATATTCATCTCATCTATAAAAAATATACTTACACAGCAAACACAAAGGTTGGTATTTGACCAAATACCTAAATACCATGGCCAAGCCAAGTTGACACATAAAATAAATCATCACATAGATAAGAGGAAGTGAGACAGGGCAGAGACAGCAGCCTATTCAGGCATGTTAGGGAGCACATTACTGTGGGGACCATGAAATACAGCCCAAGTTATCTAATTCAAGAAGGAGCAGGAATGCTTATCCACCTGCTCTGACCCATCATTAGTCGAGGGTGGGGGGTGTCTTCTGAGGCAGTAACTTCCAGCCCCTTCCAGCCTACACTGGGTGCAGACCAAACATACATTTATTCCAGAGAAGGCTCCCAGGCAAAGCCATAGCTGCTTACAATAAAATCCATCAGCATACAAAGAAACCAAGAAGGGGTACCACATCCCCATCACCCAGCAATCCATCCCATCCAGCCCTGTCCCAACCCCACCAATCATGAGCTCTGCACAGTTTAACAAAGGGCCCTAATTTGGGCTCTTAGCCAAGATCAGGAACCAGCTCCGGTCCAAATACAACCCTCAGAGGGAGGCTGAGCTCCACAGCTGGGTCAAGGAACTCACAGGCCACTCCATGGGCCCTGACTTCCAGAAGGATCCAAGGATGAGCTCATGTTGTGTACATTCATGAGCAAGCAGTAGCTGCTCAGTCCAAGAAGCTAGAAGCCACAGGACAAGAGGGACCAAGGATTCATTGCCAGTCTGAAGCTGAAGGCCTGGAAGCTCCCTGGAGATTCGCTGGCAGGGGTCCACATTGATGAGCTAATGAAGCTGGAATCTGTTAGCAGCAGATGATGCCGGCAGTAAAAGACACACCCACTCGAGCAGAGTGGAGCTTTCCGGTGCAGACTGACTTCCTCCTTCTTCCCCTTTTCCTTCCATCTGGGCTGCAAGCTTACCTGATGGTGCCACCCACCGTCACACTAGTCTCCCTGTGTCTTAGTTACTTCTCTCTTTGCTGAGGCACAATTCCCAACACCTGCAAATGAAAGGAGAGGTTTATTTTGGCATACAGTTGGTAGAGGTTTCAGTCCATAGTTGGATGGCTCCAAATCAAGACGACATGGCACAAGAGCATAGTGGAGGACAGCTGCTCAGAGTGTGGTGGACAGGAAGCAGAGAGGGAGAAAGAAGGAGCTGGAGAGGGAAACTCTTCCAGGCCACACCCCCAGTGACTCATCTCTTCCAACCAAACCCTGCCTCCTACTAAATCGCTATAAGCCTCCATAATCCAATCATCTTCCCAAAGCCCCACATATAAGTGCATGAGGCTTTGGGGGAACATCTAGATATAAACCATAATACCACATTTGCTGGCCTACATGCCAGTATTCCTGGAAACCCTACACAGACACACACAAAAGTGTACTTCATAATCTTCTAGGTGTCTTTTAAGTCAGTCAAGTCCACAGTCATGATTAAAACAGAGGCAAATGATTGTTTGACAGTGTGTACGTGACACAGGGACAGGTGTCTCCCCTCGCACTGGTAGGGAAAACCAAGACAGAGGGGCTACAGAATGGTGTGGAATAAGGATCACATATTCAGGGAGGCAGCAGGGAAAGTTGGATGATACTATCATGAAGACCAGCCAGGGTGTCATGGGGCCACAGAAAGGCACCAATGAGCACCCCAGCCAGGTGGGCACTAGCCAGCATCCCTACGGCCTCAAGAACCTGCTGCCCAAGGACCACACCACCATCAGCCTCCAGATGGATGCAAACAACTCAACCATGTGGGCACAGTGAGTCCAGGCACTTGGAGGCACATCTGCAACACCAAACTGAGGATCAACAAGTGTGACAACTCTTCTATGTCCCTGCAGATGGACTACATGCCGGGCATCAACCACAGCACCCATAACTTTGCCCTGACCAGCAGATATGCAACCCCCAAATACTTCTCACAGGGCTTGCAGCCCTTGGGACTCCACTGGGCACCGCAGCTTCATAGGAGAGGCCGCATGTAGCCCCTACTACCAAGAGTAGGCTGGCTACTGAGTGTCCTGACTCCCCACATTATCACCCTATCTGGATTTGGGGATTTGTGTGTGTGTGTGTTTGCATCTTTTTTTTTTTTAACATGTTCAGTGCTGCCCGTTGTGGGTCAGTGGATAGCTAGGTGAGACCAGGTTGGAGCCAAAGCTCTTTTTCCCATCCTGCTCTGGTTCTTTCACAGAACTGAGTCACCAGCCAGGCGTTGTGGTGCATGCCTGTAATCAATCCCAGCACTTGGGAGGCTGAGGCAGGAGGATAGCCACAAGTTTGAGGCCAGCCTGGCCTACATAGTGAGTTAATGCCAGCCTGAACTACATAGCAAGACTCTCAGAAACAAACAGTGGTGCCACCTCCTGCCTGGCTCGAAAGCGCAAGGTCCTGAGTTCAATCCCCAGTACCAAAACAAACAAACAAAAAGAACTGAGTCACCTGGAGGAAGGGAGAGGTGATATTGAAGTGCTGTGGGGTGGAGTGCCTGACCACAGACATCCAGCCAGCAGATTACTCAAGTTTTATAGGGCAGAGACCATGGCATAGAGAGTAAGGGGAACTGGCCTCAAATGATTTCCTGTTTCCTCATCTCTTTCCCAACAGCTTGTGTTTTCTGTTGCTGCAGAAGTTCCAGGCAGTTTTAATGAAAGAAAATAATGCTTTTTCTTTTTTTTCAGGGGGGTGAGGTAAAGGGGGTCGCTGGGAATTGGATCCCCTGGATCCAATTTTTAGACCCTAGGGTCTAAATATCTTGAGGGACTGGATTTCCTTAGGACCCTCCTTCAGAAAACTCTGACACTTCCCAGGGGACCAGTGAGGGAAACTGAGGCACAAACAGAACAATGGAGTTCTGAGTGGTTAAGACAAAGCCAGATCTCGCTCCCCATTAGCCCTTGGTGGAGACCACAGTTCTTCCCCTTCTGGGCCTGACCAGCTGTACTTACCATTTTGTACTCTGGGCCCTCACTACCCCTCCAAATACTGGACAGAGACCACCTCCCTAAGGGTACCAGACAATGAGATAATGTGGAATACCCAGTATGGACTAAAAGCAATAAAATCTGCACTTTTAAATTTTTGTATTAGTATGTGTTTGCAGTACATACTGTTTACATTCCTTGGGTGCCACTGGTAAACATTCATATCACATATTAATTCCTTTTTCTCCCCCTTTCCCTTCTCTCTCTCCTCCCTCCTTCAATCTCATGATCCAATTCCCATCTGAGAAAGATCTATCCCCCTATTTCCTATTATCTTTTATTTTGTTCTTTTTTAAGTAGAATAAAAAAGAGTGCCAAGAAAATAGGGCCAGGCTCTCTACAGCTTGTGCAAAATGTAATAGTTGTTGTTGTTATTTTTGGTTGGTTGGTCGGTTGGTTGGTTGGTTTTTCTGAGACAGGGTCTCACTATGTAGTTCAGACTGGCCTTGAGCTCACTATGTAGCCCAAGCTGGAGTCAAACTCCCAGCGATCCTCCTGCCTCAGCCTCCCATGTGCCACCTCACCCAGCTTGGCTGTTGTTATTACTAACTGTTCTAGGGCTATCAGACTTTCTGATTTTCAAGAGAACTCCAAAATTGGGTTGTGTGTACAAAAACTTCCAAAACTTAAATTTGGCAAGAATATTTCCCTATATTTGTTCTATAGTTATAACTGTTACTGTGCAATACATGGGATCTGCCTTAAACCATTCAGACTACTACAACAGAAAACCTGGGGCTGAGTAATTTATAAAAAATGGAAATTTATTCCTCATAGTTTTGGAGACTAAGAAGTCCAAAATCAAGGTACTGACATATGATGAGGGACTTCTTGCTGTATTATCCCACATCAGGAGGAGAAAAGGCAAGAAAAACAATCTTAGTCACACGTGGATGATGTGCAGCTGTAATCCCAGCTACTCTGGAAGCTGAAACAGGAGGATCAGAAATTCATGGCTTGGGCTGGGGATTTAGCTCAGCGGTTTCGCTGCCTGGCTGCGCAAGCAAAGCACAAGGACCCAAGTTCGATCCCCGGTACCAAAAAAAAAGAAATTCATGGCCAGACTGGGCAACTTAGCCAGGGAAGAGAATGACAAGAAGGTGCCAGGGTCTCACCATCCCCTCAAGTTCATGCCCCCAGTGATCTCATTTCTTTCCAGTAGATGCCATCACCTAAAGGTCTCCCCACCTCCCGATAGTGCTACAGGCTTGAGACCAAGATTCAACACGTGGGTCCTTGGAAGATGTTTAATATGCAAACTACAGTACATACCATACTAATTGTGCTAATTAGAAAAACAAGCTACTCAGGCCTAGTGTTAAAAGTCTTCATTAAGACAATGGCTACCCCAGCATGGCTGAACAGATGTATACAAGAATATAATATCTTGCTGGCATGGTGGCACATATCTGTGATCCCACTTGGGAGGCTGAAGAAGGTGGATTGCAAGTTCAAGTCCAGCTTGGGCAACTTAGTAAGATTATCTTGAAAATAAAATTTTAAATAGCTGGGGATGTAGCTCAGTGATAGAGTATGTGTCTAACATATCCAAGGCCCTGAGTATAATTCCCAGCACTACAAAAAATAGAACACACTATGCTCATAGCAGCACTATTCACATTAGCCAAAAACGTAGAAACAGCCCAGTGTCCATCAGGGGCTGAAAAGATAAATAGAATGTGGTCTATACATGCAATAGAATATTATGCTGCCATAAAAGGAACAAGGCACCAATCCATGCTACAATACAGATAAACCTTGTAAACAATATACTGAGTGAAAGAAGTCAGACACAAAAGGCCACATAGTACATGATTCCATTTAGCTTCTCCTGATTTTCCAAATTCTTCTCTTCCTCCAAGTTTTACCTTGTTCAATTAAAAACAAACACAAAATTTGCCTTAGAATGTAGGAAGAGAATAGACACTGTAAAAACCTTTTATTATATTATATATTAGAAACTACTTTTGTGATGAAAACATTTGAAATTTACAATTAATTTTTAAATTATTAATATGTTAATTATATAATGCATCATGCCATGCAGTAAATCACAAAGTGTCTAAAATATAATTTAGCCAGAGATTTAGCTCAGCAGCACAGTGCCTGCCTGGCAAGTGCAAGGTCCTGAGTTAGGTCCTCAGTCCCCAATATAAAAAAAATATTTTTTTAAATTTTTTGTTTAGCATGATTTGTCATTTTTCATCTTTGTTTGACATACACTGTATTCTATGTATTAAGGGGGTTCAGTGTGATTTTTCCATATATGCATACAACTTGCATTGATCAAATCCAACCCCCCTTTACATACACACACACATACACACACACACACCCTCTTCCCAACCTCTAATAATTATTCTACATTCAGGTCAGGTGTTTTGAGCTTCCACCTGTGAGAAAGAACATGTCTTTCTGTGTCTGACTTATTTCACTTAACATCATGTCTTCCTGTTCCATCCCTGTTGCTGCAAATACATGATCTCATTAGGTTTTTTGGGTTTTGTTTTGGTTTGGTTTGGTTTGGTTTTGGTACTGGGGATCGAACTTAGGACCTTGCACTTGTGAGGCAGGCGCCGGAATCACTGAGCTAAATCCCTGGCCCTGGGTTTTATTTTTTTAGACATGGTCTCACTATGTAGTCCTGGCTGGCCTTGAACTCACAGCAATCCTCCTGCCTCAGCCTCCAGAGTGCTGGGGTTACAGGTGTGCACCACCACATCTGGCTATGATCTCATTTTTTGTACCTGAGAGGATTCCATTATCTACATACACCACATTTCCTTTATGTGTTCATCTCTTGATGGGCACCTAGGCTGATTCCATATCTTAAGTACGGTGAATACATTTTTAAGACATACTGCATGTACTGCACACAGTACTAATAAAAAATTTTAAAAAGATTTTTTTTAAAAAAAGATATTTTAAACCAATGTGTTAAATCAGACTAAGTACCAAGAGGTCTCTGCAAATAAAGGGCTGGGCTGTGTAGATGCAGCCCAACGGTGAAGGATCAGTTCTGGGACAAATTCCCTACGCCACCAGCAGCATGGCCATTTAAGAATTAAGAAAAAGTCCACCAACCCTAATGGGCTGGGTGTTTTATAATAACATTTTAGGAAGAAGGAACATAAATCATTAACACTGACCCTATGTTGGCTACCAGTACATGAAAGTTTTGGTAGATAAGAAGCAGGCAAAGTCCTGGGATAGGAGGTTCATCTATAAAGAGATGTTTTTGCTGCTTCTTTGCTAGTTGATTCCAAAGCACAGTGTAATGCAGCCTTTATGTGTGATCTTCAGTATACACAAAAGGAATGTCCTTTTTCTTTGTTGATTTGCCTTGAAGCTGTGAATTCAAATGAATTTCTCTTATCTCTTTCCTCTGGCCTGTAACTTAATTTAGAACACCTCTGAACTCTTTTATTAGCAAATGAACCATTCATCCTATGCCTGGCACAGTGCCAGGTGCTGTGGTTTCCATATTAAGTGTTTTGTGGAGTCCTGTAAGAAGTTTAGTTTGCCAGGTATGGTAATCCCAGATAGTCAGGAGGCTGAGGCAGGAGGATGGCAGATTTAAGGCCAGCCTGAACAACTTAGTGAGAACCTGTTTCAAGAAATAAAAAGGGCTGGAGATGTAGCTCACTGTGAAGGCCCTAGGTTTAATCCCCAGGGCCACAACAGAAGAAGAAAATGGAGGAAGAGGAGAAGTTGTTTAGTGTCTGTTGGGAAAATAGGACTCAATTACATAAAAGTATTGGTGGATAGTTAAATTCTCTTCCTCATGGCACATATTCAAAGGAACACTCACCATCACTGCCTAGGGAGTTGAATGAGATTTCTTTGTGATCCTGGAGCTGGGTTTGAGCTGGGGCCTGAAGATGAATTGGAGTTAGCCAGGAAGCAGATCAGAGAAGAGTGAACTTTCCAGGCAGTCCCTGCACACAGGTGTGGTGAGGATGACATAAAGCAAGTGCTGCCTGATGAATAGTGGGGGATAGAAGATGGGAGGAATCACTACTTTTTCTCCAGAAGCCCAGAACCTCATGCAGCCTAGACAAGCACTCTGCCACTGAGCAACACCCACAGCCCTTTGCCCAACAATTGTAAATCTTCCATTTGCTGTTTCCTCAGGCCCCCATGTAATTGCCTTTATTGTCGATTCTTCTCTTGGAAACATCTTAAATGCCACTTTTTTTGAAGAGATGGATGAGAAAGATCCCATGCACCTAAATTCTCAGGTAGTCAGTGGTGCAATTGGACCCAAAGGGAACACATCTTTTTCCTGGCCTGTGACTCTGACTTTCCAGCACTTGCAGGTGGGTCAAGGATGTAATCTGAGCTTGTCACTTCCTGAAAGTCAACCACTGTGTGTAGAGTCTCAGCCAGCTGTTCTAGCTTTATCCACCATGGTAGCCAGAAGCACCTGTGGATATGCAGCATTTGAAATGTAGCAGGTCTGAATTGAGATTTCAAAACTTTGCACCATCTTCCCTCCATATCCATGGAGAATGTTTCCAGGACACCTTGCGGATGCCAAATCCAAAGATGCTCAAGACTCTTATATCAAATGGTGCACTATTTGCTTAGAACCTATGCACATCTTCCTATAGACTTTAAATCATCTCTAGATGATTTATAATACCTGATACAATGTAAATGCTATGGAAATGGTTGTTATACAGTATTGCCTAGGAAATAATAACAAGAAAAAACTCTGTACATGTTTAGTACAGATGCAATTTTTTCTGAATGCTTTTTGTCTGAGGTTGCTTGAATCCAGGGTAGCTGGATTCAGTCCCCAGTATCACAAAAATAAAAATAACAAGAATTAAGGCATGAGAGAGGGGAAATGTAGTTTTCTTTATCTGATACATAAAATCGAGGGGTAGAATTTTCATTGTATAACATAAAAGGAAGAGGAACATAGCAAGAAATAGACTATCAAAGGAGGTGGAGTTTGAAAGAAAATGACATGTGAGCCTCAGATTCTATTTTTGTTTGGCCCTCACTATTGAGGGCAAGATCTGAAGCCAGTGAAATCTCATAAAATTCTGGCTCTTCAAGAACCTTGGCTTCATTCTACATTATGGAGAGTCCCAATAGAGCTGTGGCTCTTGGCAGCAGTCCCAATGGCCACTTAAACTATGGATGAACCTCTGTCTTAATCACATTCTCATTGCTGGGATACAATACATGACACTCACAGCTTAAAGAAGAAGTTTGTTTTGGTTCACAGTTTAGGCCACAGTTGGCCTGGTCCCAGGCAGAAAGGGCATGGAAGAATGGTCTGGATGGAGGAAAGCTGCTCACGCATGGCATCCAGGGAGCAGAGAGCTAAGGGAGGAGCTGGGAGAAAATATACCTTTCTAGGCCACATACCCCCAGTGACCCACTCTTCTGATTAGACTCCACCCCCTAACAGCACATTCAGCTATGTGAATATAGTGGTAAGTGTTACACCCAGTGAGAGAGACCCAACCAGAGACCGATACTAAATCCACACAGGAGTTTATTACCAGCCAGGACCCAAGCTGAGCATCAGACTCGAGCTTCGACTGAGGGGAGATTAACATATTTTATACACCTTTGAGTTCAGCAGTTTCTAGGCCTCCCTATGGGATAGAACTAGTAAAGCAAGCAAAAGGTACAGAAGCGGAACGTCCTGCTGTTACAACATTTGTAAAACAATAGTTGATTAATTGTTGTTTCTAAGAGACTCTAAGGGGAGGAGGTTTCTAAGCTTCCTCCTTTTGAGTTCATCTAAAGGGCAGGCAGGTGAGTCATTCAGCAGCAATATGGAGTCTGTCTTGCTAA